TGTTCCCTGTGCTTTTAGTGTCATAGCCAATGACCATCACCAAGTCCATTGCCGTGCTGTCATGTAGCTTTTGCCGCGTGTTTCCGTGTAGCTCTCACATTGAGATCCACGTGCTCCGTGTGAAGTGGATTTTCGTGTCTGGGGAGAAGGAAGGGTCCACGTCGATTCTTCCGCATGTGGGTACCCGGTGGCCCCGGTGCCATTTGTTGGGAAGATAGTCCTGTCCCTGCCGAAGAGTCTTGGCACCCACGTCGAGGATCATTTCATTCTCTCGTCTAACAGGCTGGTCTGCACGTCTCTTTAGACCAGAACCACACTGTTCTCATCGCTGGGTCTGTGTAGAACAGTGGTTCTCAACCTTCTGGCCCTTTAAATACAGTTCCTCATGCGGTGACCCAACCATAAAATTATTTTCGTGGCTACTTCATCACTGTCATGTTGTTACTGTGATGAATCGTCATGTAAATATCTGATATGCAGGATGGTCTTAGGCGACCCCTGCGAAAGGGTCGTTTGACCGCCAAAGGGGTCGCAACCCACAGGTTGAGAACCGCTGGTGTAGAAGCTTGTGAAACCAGATCTCGTGAGAGACCTCCACCTTCGTTCCTCGATTTCAAGATGGTTTGCACTGGTTGATGTCCCTTGAGAGTCTATGAATTTTAGGGTGGGTTTTTTTTTATTTTTGGAAAGTGAGTCATTGGGATTTTGGTAGCGATTGCATTGTGTCTGTAGATCGCTTTGTGTAGAGCCATCTTAACAACACGAAGTCTTCCAGTCCATGAACATGGGATGTCTTTCCATTTATTTGTGGAATAGTTATGTACTCCTAGGTGGCAGGACTGCAGGTTCGGACAGAGCCAGGCAGACCTGCCTGCCACTGGGGCCTTGCGAATGGGCACTGTGAATGCAGGCACAGTGAATGGGTTCCTCCCCCAGCCGGATGCCAGCTCTGGTTCCACAGGGGAGCAGACAGGAAAAACAGGCTGGGTCACCCCAGTGTCGGGGTCAGAGGGCTTCTGCCTCATCACAGTGAGACTGAGGCTGAGGTCTGGGAACCCGCCCCCCTCTCCCAAGTCCCAGGTCGGGGGCGAAATACGGCTTCACGCGTTGCTAACGACACACCGCCTGCCCCCGGCCAGGGCCTGCGCCGTAGCACACAGGCCTCTGACGATCTGCTTTCTTGCCTCCTGTCGGCCACGCGGGAGTCCATCCCCAGACCCAGCTGCGTGGAGCACGTACACGTGTGGGCACATGCACGCGGACCACTTTCATCATGTGCTGGTCACGGTGGAGTCCTGTTCCTTTAACTCCGTTTCTTCCTTCCTTGCTATGCGTGTGCCTCTCTTCGCCAGCTAAGCTGTGCGGATTAGGAGGCTCTGTCATTCATCATTCACGCGCCCCAGGCCCAGCATCCAGTACAGTGCGCTGTGGAACTGAATACTGGACCCAGAAAAGGTTTTTGTATCAGATAATAAACCCCATAAAGCTGCCCAACAAGTCGCCACCCTGCAATTCCGATAAACAAGTGCGGAGATGGCTCTGAGTGCGTGGTGAGTGAATGGGGCTCGTTCTGTATTTGCTGCTAAAATTACTATTTTTCAGAAGTCAGACACTAGACTGTTGTGTGGGTGGGCAGGTTCGCTTTCATGCCTTTGTGCCGAGCAGAAAGGAAGCGTCTTCCGAGTTGATGGCTTGTGGGCTCACTGGGTGCGTTTCCACAAAGAGCTCATTGAAGGCAGTGGCTGCGGATGTTCAGTTCCGTTTTCAATACTATTGATCGGTTTTAGTTTTGTGTTTGCGCTCTGGATTTAGTGCTCAATAGGGTGAGTGAGAAGCCAGTAAGAGGATTCTACCCCGTGTGGCCCCGAAGAGATTGCTTTATAGGCCCTGAGCCTAACAGGTTTTTATTATAAAATGCTCAGGTCCCAACCTTCCCTGTCACCGGATGTCACCACACCTTCATCCAAATAATAGAACAGCCTATTTCCTGTGACTTTAAAACGAAAACAACACAAGTACAGCCCCGGTCGGTCGGTTGGCGCTTCATAGAAATTCCTTTTTTTTTTCCTCTTGCTGAGTTTTCCTAAGACGCAAATGCCTCGGCTTAAATTATTCATTGGGAGGCATGCCTCCCCACTGTATTATCTGTAATTCAGGGCCACGTTGCTAAAAAATAGAACTAATAATCTCCTGAGGGAATGGGGGGCAGGGCCCTCCCTTTTTATCTCTTCCTGGTTTAGAGGGTGTCCTGGGAATACTCTGTACCCACAGCTGCTCTTCTGTCTACTTGAGAAATTCCACGATCAAAATATCCCATTAAACAAAGCCGCTCCTCGTTTATTCTCCTTTTGACCCCCAAGTGGATGGATGGATGGAAGGATGGATGCGCGAAAGTGACTTACCAGCA